GAGGAAGTAAAAATGTAGATATTTCATAATTCTATATTATGGAATGTGTTAATTTAATTTCATTTATGCAATTAACAACAATATTTCAACTTCGTCAATCTATATAATATTACATTTTTTTACAAACGGCGTTTTTCGTTTCAGAGAACCCTTAAATGATCTAGAACTTAAGATATAACTACAGTACTTTCTTCAGAGGCATTTTTTAAAATAAAAAGTTAACCAACACAAATAAAAATCAAGTAAAATTGTTGATTTTATCAGCTCAAAAATAAAATTGACCATAGTAGTTGTTTTCTTAGTTATTATTATGCGAATTTAGAGAAATAAGATAGTAGGATGAGCCAAATAATACAATGTAGTAACAATTTATCGGTTTTTGTATATAGGTTTTCAAGGCTTTGCTCATTTTTTTTAAAATAAAAGGTAAATTAACCCTCTATAAATATTTCGAAGCTTTGAACTCTGAATAAATACATTTACGTAATTAGTATTAAATAAAACTCTAATTACCAAGATGTGTTGTGGATTCGACTTTTAGGGTCAGTTGGTTTTTAATATACAGTATGCATAATGAGGTTTATTTGTTTTTTGCCCGCCTTTTGTAGTTTACTGTGTAAGAGATGTAATGAATTGAAACATCTCAATAGAGAAATAAAATGCAGCAAGTCTGAGTTTAACTTTTTGATTTTTAATGATGAATATTAAAAAATATATTAGTACAGAAAAGTATTTACTATGTTTAATCAGAGGAACGGTTTCATCAGTTCATTAATTTAATAATGTGTTTCATAAGTTATATCACGACCTTGAAAATACCTCTAGCGAGGACTATGAAGAATATATTACCTGTTCTGTCTGGCCCTGGCTCCAACCACAGCGAAGTGTGTGTTTCTACAAACAAATTATATCCTTATATGTTGAAAATGTTAGCCAGGAATGGTAATTAATTAATTTTTGCAATAAAAATACACAACATTTTTATTAATTGGTCGATTGGAGTATACAGAAATACCGATTCAAATAGGAGGTTTGAAACAATATTTACAAAATCCCTGGTCTTTTTCCAATAACAGTTTTTTTTATATTTTATATGAGAATAATCAAAAATATAGAATTTAATCCTTACGAATTTTGGAATTTAAAATTTTTATAAGATGAGCAGATTGATTTACAGCAAACATGAGCTGTACACCATGTTACCTCATCATGATGAGCAGGTACATTTAGAAATGCATTTGAAAAATGACAAATCTATAAAATAAAACCAGTTCCAAATAAAATATTATACTGCAAAATCTCATTTGATTCCGCCCTCCCAATTAGCTTTTCAGATTCCACAGTTCGACTGTAGATGCTATCACGGCTCGATGGCCTCAGTTGAATGGCATTAAGTCAGTTAGGGAAATCACTTGATTGAGGGTTTGGCCGACTTTGAATTCCCTCTCAAGGTCGGGGTCCGGTAATGCTAGGCATTACGTGGCCAACACTGATAACGCCGACCTTGACTTTGTTGATAAAGCAATAAACGAACCTACCTACGAGGTGACTGCAGAGGATGTTTAATTTGTATAGGAGATTGCGCGATCCTAGTGACGTAGGGAAGATCAAATGTATTTGTTTACTTTGAATAAAATACTTATTTATTGAGGCGACCATTAGGACGACATGGTTCTTTCTAACAGTTAACAAAAAGCTGATGTCTGTTACATCAGCAATACTTATCTGTAAAATTGTAATAAGCGTGAGATAAAATATACGTTTAGTTCATTTTAAACAATTTCAATTTGTAGAAGTGGGTACAGTATTATACTGTCCAAGAATTCGTTAGAAATAATCTCATTGAATAATAGCTGATCTACCAGTGTTTGGCAACAGGATAACCTAGTACAGAAGTATCCGGGAATTTTTAATCTTCTGTGAACAAAATTGACCTTTTACAATAGAAATAATATAAAAACCACTTATTTTATAAAATTCTCTTGGGCTAATGCAACTAAATATGTGAAGTATTAAGATGAATCGTACTATCAAATTTAAATTAAATAAATTTTAATAGTGTACATCATAGCAAACACAGAGGATTTTTGCCATTAAAGCTAAATAAAATACTATTATTTACTTAAAAAGGTACCACCTTTAAACATGCGACTGTCTATTCGGTTAAATAGTTCTTTCGTTGACCGTTGACCCGAAACACAGAAAGAACTAAGTTTATTTTATAATATTGTAAAAGATAATTTCATCGACATAAAACGTTTATTTTTAACAACATTGAACATCCTAACTCGCCCTAAATATACTACTAAGATTTATTACACCTGTAGAAAGAGTGCAAAGGATATATTTACTACCATATTTTGGAACAAAAACGGGGTATGACGACCTCACAGACGAAACAGGACAATTTGGCCTAGATAAGTTGCGAGGGAGTTTGTGGACCAGATCGAGTCAGTTTCCAAACATCCTCGTTGACCCGTGGCAAGTCCTGCTGTGAGTGTGACTGAGGTTGTATAACCGAGTACTAGGACAGTCCAGTGGGGGACATGCCACACGCAGCCAGGGTCCTCCGGAGGTAAGCAGTCAATACAATAGTACCAGCCTTCTAGGTAGTCTGTAATAAATGTTATCCATGCGAAACAGTCAACAATAACATAATGATGATCTTTCATAGACAAAAACATGCAAGGTAGGGAGGCCAAGCACCTGCAACTAGTAGCACGAATTTGTAAAGTAATTTACTGTCCTTATTTCGACACTTAAAATGCCATCTTCGGATGACCACAAAAACATTTGGGGTCTGCACACTGACCAGAAGATGACGTTTTAAATGTTGGAACCAGTGGTCTCATAAAAGACTTTAGGGAATATCAAGAGGCACCAGTTATTACACTTTTTACATCTGTCTGACTTGTTAGAAGGTCGTTGTTTTGACCTTGAAGAAAATGCCTGGATACTTGAGGTTGTGTTATTTTGCACCCGAATTTCACAAACTGATGACTGGAATTACTTTACTTATTTATTGGAGCTTAGAGCATCCAGTAAGCAATCGCCTTTGGACCTTTTTTACTACCTGAAGGTCTTTCTTTATCGGTTCTCCACCATATATCTACTACGCCTCATTGACTCGTACTTGTGAGAAACAATCAAGTTTATTTTTCTGATTGTTGTTTTTTATGTGTGGCCTAATACCCACAATTATATTTTGCAGCTTTATTTGTTTTTTTTTTCACACACTGACATGATGAATAGTTACAGGTCATCAATTTTCATAATCTTGTGACGACAAATTGCTGATAAAGATATAGAGCTTGTCAGTTGTTTTATTTTCGACTCTTCACTTCTGACATCCATAAAGAAAAAGTAGCTTTAAAATAAAGTTAGCTCGATACGCGACTTGATCTTCTTCAAACCGTTCTGCCTCAGCAAAACCGCATAAGTATAGCTTTACAAGGCGACATTTTAATACTATCCTCCTTATATAATCCTCATCTCCTTATATAATAGTATGAAGTTATCTATTCCTCCTTGTTTTTTCTTCTATATTAAATTCTACTTATCTTAATAGCAAACTTAGTGTAATAGCAAAATAATGGTAGTTTTTTAATCAATAATAATCAACTACATATAAAAATGCATTTCTACGATTTAATAAGTAGTTCCAATCCAACAAATTGCATGATTTTATTTAGCTGTCTGGGTTCTATAAATATATTTCTGTAGCACTAAAACTGTAGTGTAACATCCATAAGGTAAAACCAAGGCCACACTAAAAAAAGTTTTTTTAGTGTGGCCTTGGGTAAAACCTATCAAATCAAGTGATGAACTTAACTGTAAAAAGTACAATTTGCTGATGTAGAATTGTGTTTGCAGATGCGCCTGTGGCCGTGTGCCATGCTGAGCCTGCTGACGTTCTGTTGCTGTGACGCCAATAATTGGAGATTTTAGCTGATTCTCAAGAGGTTCGGGCAGATTCGTGACGTCTTGCTCAACTGTCCGACGTAGAGATTGCTGATGTAGAGTTGTGTTTGCAGATGCGCCTGTGGCCATGTGCCATGCTGAGCCTGCTGACGTTCTGTTGCTGTGACGCCAATAATTGGAGATTTTAGCTGATTCTCAAGAGGTTCGGGCAGATTCGTGACGTCTTGCTCAACTGTCCGACGTAGAGATTGCTGATGTAGAGTTGTGTTTGCAGATGCGCCTGTGGCCGTGTGCCATGCTGAGCCTGCTGACGTTCTGTTGCTGTGACGCCAATAATTGGAGATTTTAGCTGATTCTCAAGAGGTTCGGGCAGATTCGTGACGTCTTGCTCAACTGTCCGACGTAGAGATTGCTGATGTAGAGTTGTGTTTGCAGATGCGCCTGTGGCCATGTGCCATGCTGAGCCTGCTGACGTTCTGTTGCTGTGACGCCAATAATTGGAGATTTTAGCTGATTCTCAAGAGGTTCGGGCAGATTCGTGACGTCTTGCTCAACTGTCCGACGTAGAGATTGCTGATGTAGAGTTGTGTTTGCAGATACGCCTGTGGCCATGTGCCATGCTGAGCCTGCTGACGTTCTGTTGCTGTGACGCCAATAATTGGAGATTTTAGCTGATTCTCAAGAGGTTCGGGCAGATTCGTGACGTCTTGCTCAACTGTCCGACGTAGAGATTGCTGATGTAGAGTTGTGTTTGCAGATGCGCCTGTGGCCGTATGCCATGCTGAGCCTGCTGACGTTCTGTTGCTGTGACGCCAATAATTGGAGGTTCGAGTTGAGTCTCAAGAGGTTCGAGCAGATTCGTGACGTCTTGCTCAACTGTCCGACGTAGAGATTGCTGATGTAGAGTTGTGTTTGCAGATGCGCCTGTGGCCGTATGCCATGCTGAGCCTGCTGACGTTCTGTTGCTGTGACGCCAATAATTGGAGGTTCGAGTTGAGTCTCAAGAGGTTCGAGCAGATTCGTGACGTCTTGCTCAACTGTCCGACGTAGAGATTGCTGATGTAGAGTTGTGTTTGCAGATGCGCCTGTGGCCGTATGCCATGCTGAGCCTGCTGACGTTCTGTTGCTGTGACGCCAATAATTGGAGGTTCGAGTTGAGTCTCAAGAAATTCGAGCAGATTCGTGACGTCTTGCTCAATGCTGTCGGCAGAACTTCCAACAACCCAGGGTTGCTAAAGAGGGCTGGCAAGCTTAATGTAAATATCCTTGTGATAAACCTAACTAGCATGTATTATCAATGTTTCAATTACATATCATGAATATACGAGTGTTTAAACAAGATTTGCTAATTTATTAGAAGGCACTAGAAATTTGCAAAAAAATATATTTTCTCTGATAGATTAGTTTTATTTGTGATTGCCAATGTACAGAAACTACAGCCTGCAGTAAGTGAAGAGAGGCCATTCCCCTGCCAGACCGAGGGGTTCCGTTCCCCGGAGAGGCCTGACAGTGTTCACAGACTGCGGCCCGGAGATATAGACGTGGTGGGAGCCCTTGGAGACAGCCTCACTGCTGGCAACGGAGCAGCGGCCTCCACACTGCTGCATGTCTACACGGAGAACAGAGGCATCTCATGGTCTATCGGTAAGAGTAACAGTATGCAAGAATCGTGGTATAGGATCTAATACTATGGAACATACAAAAACACCAGTGGAATTTTCTAGTGAAACAGTAGAAACACAAGATAAGACAGGGAAATCGAATGTTTTTTACACACTGCAAAGGTTTGAAGCTTAGGATAGTCCTGGTTTATAAGAATTATATATCAAGAACACAAAACAAATGTTAATTTACCATTAAAATTGATATATAAGCACAACGAATGTCTGGGTAGTCAAACTATAAATTATTATCAATCATCAATCATTGAGATGGGGACGCCACGTATTTTAACCCAAGTATGAGTGAAGGATGAGTGTAGTATAAAAGTAGCATTATATATATATATATATAAACATACATTGCCATCACAATGTCAGCAGCCAATGCAATGATACCTCTTCTGTTGGTTGAATACTAAGAACAACAGTCGCTTGTAGTTTGAAATGACTCTTTACATCCCTCTTTACATACACAGGAGGGCAGGGGACATGGAGGGAGTTTCTGACGCTGCCTAACCTTCTGAAGGAGTTCAACCCTAGTCTAGTGGGTTACTCCCTGAAGGACTCCTTGACTCATCATAGAGCGTCACAGTTCAACGTAGGAGAGGCCGGTGCTATGAGTGACGACCTACCGTACATGGCTGGTCAGCTGATTAAGAGGATCCGCTCCGACCCCAGAGTGAATATCTACAAGGACTGGAAGGTTGGTCACTTACACATTTTTGTGTAACACAATGTTGTGAGCACAATATTTTTGATACAATAATACATTAATTCTTTTCAAAATATAAAATCTCATTGAACATAATAAAGGAAAATTTCATACAGTTGATAAGGCTTTTGTAAGCTAGATTAATGCACTTCTCTAAACTACAATATGAAAATGGTAGCTAAAACTCATCCCACATAGAAACAATCTCATCAGCAGATTCAATGTTAACTTTTATTGGATGGATTGAGAAAGCGGTTGTAGTATCTATCTTGATTGCAGTCACTTAACTTTCTTTATTATAGATATATTTGTGTGCTTTTATGTTCACTTTTAAGAAAAAAACACATTTTTAAAAGTATAAACCTTAACGTGTAACAGTTAAGTATTGAGTGCATTGAATACGAAAGTTACAGACAATGTAAATTGGTACTGAGTAGACTGGGACAACGATATTACTTATATTTATTTTAACTGTAAAACACTTGTTAAACATTAAACATATCCGACCACAGATAATGTTGATCAACGAAGAAAGTTTATGTTGTTTCATATTATATCCTTAGCAATATGTCCCCTGAATGTCAGGCATAATACATATGTTTACTGTACAGAGGGAACTCCCATAATTCTAAGGGCATAGTAAACATATTTTCTTAATGAAAGTAAAAAAACTATTTTTGATCTACTATACAGTTGATCACGTTGATGATGGGCTCCAACGACTTCTGTCTGGACATTTGCTACATAGACACCAAGATTGCTCCTGAGCGTCATCGCAAGAACCTCATCAAGACATTGGATCTGCTCAAGGAGGCGCTGCCCAGGACTCTGGTACAAATTGTCATCTCACCCAGTAAGTATAGTACAGTACAGTGATAAAATATACTGACGTTACGACGAAAATAATAAGGCTTCTTTTCAAATTTGGGAAGTAGTACATTTCATCACTAGGGCCATGCATGACTTTTTTCGACCCATACTCCGGTTTCACAACTGAGGCAAAGCTTATCGTAAATAAGTGAGGGCTAAAATATACTCTTTGCCCATGCGATTAACTATATTTTTCGTAATTGCATCATTATTATTTAACAAACTAAGTTAGGAACACGAAAATACTTTCATAAAACTAATTTAAATTAGTTTTCAATTTTGCTAATGAAATTAGACAGCTGTTTGGAAAGCGATTCAATCATTTCGTCTATTACGATTATGTTAGTGTATATCAATATGATAAACTATTGACTAGATGTTGTTCAAATGTTTATTGCGGGGATAAGACAAGTAATTAAAAACACAGACACACAGACACAATTACACAGTCAGGTAATTCAGTATTGAATAGAATCATAGAATTCAACCTTTGACTATTCAGTACCCAATAGTCAATGATTTAACCATAAGCTACAACCATTGACTATTGAGTCAAAAGTACAACTAATTAAATCAATCTATAGATAGTTATTTCGATACATGCGATTTGGGCTTATAATCGAAGTTTTACAACTTAGTTTACACCATAGAAAAACATAGTCCCTTAGTAGATTTACCATCCTTATGGATCAGCTGAAGCTAATTTTATTGTTAGTTCTGTCCGGTTTTCTGTAGATTTCATGTTTTGTATACAATTTGTTTCCATTATTTTAGTGTTAGTTTCTCATTATTTGTGTCTCTCTGTTATATAGCTAGTGGACGAGTTATTGTTTATGATTAGATAGTTTTATTTAGCTAAACGAGTTTTTAAATTACTGAAATAACAAGAAACAAATTGTAAACAAAACACGACATCTACAGAAAACCGGACAGAACTAACAATAAAATTGGCTTCAGCAGTTCATAAGGATGGGAAATCCACTAAGGGACTATGTTGTTTCTATGGTTTACACCAGCTGAATTTTACGCCTTAGGGACCAAAAGGCTTTTTCCTCCCTGGTAGTAAAAGAGCTACTTTAGACAAAAAAAAAACATTCATTTAAACAAACGGCTATTTTTGACGCAGAATGACAAAAAACACTTTTCTTGGGAGAAATAATGGTGTAGTGGTAGTAAACGTCTTAGTTAAGGATTAAATCTTGGCTCTTTGGCAGGAAGAGGAATACAAAATTACTTACTTCATGAAGCAGCCAAATGCTTTTAAAATCTAAAAATAGAGAATCAATTTCAAGGTATTGTAAAACTGGTTGTATGTCAAGGCCTATTCGATCCCTAAACTATTTAATAAGGAAGTTTAAGCAACGTTTCTTCTTATACAATTATAGTAAACTAGGGCTATTTTTAAACAACTGTAGCAGTGTATAAAACCGGTTTGTTAAAAGAGGTGCTACAAATTGCATCACATCTCAAGGTACTGTAGCTGTCCTCAAGGTACACCACGGTCCCAGCACTTCCTCAGTTGTTAATTATGTGATGAACCATTAACACTTACATAGACTACAATTTCGCCTTGTAAACCCATCCCCCTTCCGTATTAGTTATAATAAAAATCTAAGTAATGTACGAGAACTGTCTAATTAACTACCGGTAACAACTGATAGTACTCTGACAAGACTGTAAGGATAATTAAAAAAATACTGTGTTAAAAGACACTTAAAAAATAAAGTTCAAGAAGTTATGATACCTACCGATGAACAACAAAAGCAGGGCCTGGGCTTAACAAAACTAGAAAACCCGTCAATGAGTTCATCAACAGAACAGACATGTTGAGATGCTATGTAATTTTTGTAATAGGTTAACATTAGTTAGCTCCTTAAATTAATTGTTGTATTTAAACCCATGGTATCTTTATTAAAAAATCAATTGTAGTTTAGTAGCGAAGTAAGGTGGTCACATTTTACAATAATGCCATGGTATTTTAGGTAAACCCCAGTCATAATACATGTGCTGAAGTTTCAACCTCGTTGCGTAATAATTGTGCTCTGTTAATGCTCTGTTGATAGATATAGCAACGATATCGAAATTTCAGGCCAAATTTATCTAATAACTCCAGGTAACAGGTCAAAATGTTAACCATATTTTGGGGGTAGAGTTCTTTTTTTTTATAGCCGTTCAACCGGCAGTAGTCGCTGTTGTTTAGTTGGTCTAGAGTCCTTTAGACGACATTACTCATATTATTTTGTTAATCTAAACTAAAAAAAAAAACATAATTACCAATTCAAAAACCAACTAGAAATTAAATTAAACTAATAATGTATTTAAAATTAAAACTAATAGATTTAAATGTCACTGTATTACAGACCTAGGGAAGATCATTACCAAGTTTAAGGGAGTCCGCCCTCTGTGTCAGCATAGTATTTAAATGACACTGTGTTACAGACTTAGGGAAGATCATTACCAAGTTCAAGGGAGTCCGCCCTCTGTGTCAGCATAGTATTTAAATGACACTGTGTTACAGACTTAGGGAAGATCATTACCAAGTTCAAGGGAGTCCGCCCTCTGTGTCAGCATAGTATTTAAATGTCACTGTGTTACAGACCTAGGGAAGATCATTACCAAGTTCAAGGGAGTCCGCCCTCTGTGTCAGCATAGTATTTAAATGTCACTGTGTTACAGACCTAGGGAAGATCAATACCAAGTTCAAGGGAGTCCGCCCTCTGTGTCAGCATAGTATTTAAATGACACTGTGTTACAGACTTAGGGAAGATCATTACCAAGTTCAAGGGAGTCCGCCGTCTGTGTCAGCATAGTATTTAAATGTCACTGTGTTACAGACCTAGGGAAGATCATTACCAAGTTCAAGGGAGTCCGCCCTCTGTGTCAGCATAGTATTTAAATGTCACTGTGTTACAGACCTAGGGAAGATCATTACCAAGTTCAAGGGAGTTCGCCCTCTGTGTCAGCATAGTATTTAAATGACACTGTGTTACAGACCTAGGGAAGATCAATACCAAGTTCAAGGGAGTCCGCCCTCTGTGTCAGCATAGTATTTAAATGTCACTGTGTTACAGACCTAGGGAAGATCATTACCATGTTCAAGGGAGTCCGCCCTCTGTTTCAGCATAGTATTTAAATGTCACTGTGTTACAGACCTAGGGAAGATCATTACCAAGTTCAAGGGAGTTCGCCCTCTGTGTCAGCTGACCCACAACTTTGAATGTCCATGTTTGTTTGGTCTCGCCTATCAGCATCGTCAGCGAGAGTTCCTTCAACTCATGGATCTATGGCAACTGGCTGAGTTTAAAGTTGTAAGTATATTTTGAATAAAGTTAGTTGTATACAAATTATGACACCCCATTTTAAGTACTATAAGGCCGCGAGGATCGATTTATGTTTTAATCCTGGTGCTAAAGCTGGTACGTTACATTCGAACGGTAGTTCTTGTGGAGTTCTTTCAGTAGCTGTAAAATATAGGTGATTTTTTATACAATTCTTAATGTTTTCCCACTTTTACATGGTAACGTAAGATAACACAACCTCATTAATGCATAAGTCACATAGAACTGCTAAGGTTTATTTAATGTAATGTGGATATATAATAGTGAATTTTTATTTTTGTCCTAAGATGTGTTTATCATGTATTATCCATCAATGTACCCATGTTGTTAACGAATATAGTTTTATTATTTGTTTTATTTGTTTACTTGTTTGCTATTGGGTTTTACAGTATTATTTAATCTCTCTACTGATTTATTTGAGTGTCAATTGGTAGGCTATTGAAGTATTCTTTTACCAAAAAAGGTTGTATAAGAGAAAATGGTATAATCATCAGTTTTACACTAGCCGTATGGATTCGTATTAGGGTCGGGAGTCATTTGTGTGTGTAACTTCTAATAATTGTTTTTACATTTCCAGGCTTCGGACCTAAGATATCAAAATAGTGATGATTTCGCCGTGGTCGCACAACCGTTCACGTTCAATATTTCATTCCCCATTAGACGGGATCGGTTAGGAAACATACTAACGGACTTCACCTACTTATCTGAAGATTGTTTCCACTTTAGTCAGAAGGGATATTCAAGAGGTACGTAAGTCTTGCTTTACCTTGTTCATTTTTCACTTACCAATCATTCATTGTTCAACTTTAGTATTTATACTATAATTCAGAATTACGAAAAATACCTTTATTCAATGCAAAATCTTACCTTGAAAAACCAACGATATCTTAATTCATTGCTTACTATCTAAAAACGGTACTTCAGAATTAAATGGAGGCCACATTTTGTCAGCGCGCTGCGGCGGTTATGTTAGGTTGGGTTATCATAATAGAAAGTACCGTTCGATTCATAACGAAGCGAGGAAAGTCCTACACACATAATATTTACGATAACCCAACCTAACATAACCGCCGCAGCGCGCTGACAAAATGTGGCCTCCGTTTAATACTGAAGTACCCTAAAAACTGTAAGAGTATCTCTTAGTGATTTTGTAAATATACATTTTGAGCTGTTTGATGAGTACACAGTCATTGCCTTTTGGATACTGAAGTTGTATCGATAGTCAAAGGTCTTCCAAAAAACAATGACATACCGCACGAGGTAAGCCTGTGGGCTTACAAAGTTTTAATGAAGCCGTTATGATGAGAGAATTCGGAAACTCGTTGCGTGTTATAAGCCCCGATTGTCTTCTGCATCAGAAAATATTCTTGCCAAAACTCGACCAATAAAACATAGTTACCAAGATTTTAGTTTAACATAAAAGTTGTTGTTTGTTGTATAGGATGAATTGGAATATACGGTTACCGGTACCTGTTTTGTCTGTCACCGTAAAACTAATAACATGCTGTCATTTACATATAATTTGTGGATTTTAACTTCTTTAAATTACAGTTTATGGATGTTTAGTTGAGTTTCTACAAGTTACAGTATATCTCGAAGAAGGTTTAGTTTTAAGTAGTTAAAGATAGTTATATGCTTTTTGCATGACAATAAATCCAATGATACTATGGTTTATGATCATATAAGGACTAAACCCCTACTTTTATTTTATTACTAAATTAAACCTATTTTATATAATTTATAGAATTTTGAGTTTGCTGGTTAGTTCTCTTAACAACCGATTTTGTAAATTTCATTTTGATGTTCAATTTAGTTTTATTGTTTATTTTATTTTGCAATACATGTTTGTATAAGATGTTGACATTGTTTTTCAACGATTATTTTCTCCGACAGCTGTGACGGCGTTATGGAACAACATGTTGGAACCTATAGGGCAGAAGAGAACCAACTGGGGGATGGAGTTGGAACACTTCCTTTGTCCAACAGAAGACAGACCTTACATATCCACCTTCGCCAACTCTTGACCAAACCCTAGCCTACTTAGTGATAACTGCAGTGTGAAATCTAAGTCATTTAGCTGTTAAGAGCTATTTATTGCTTTAGTGTTGTATTACTATGTATTAAGTATTGTATTCTAAGTAATTGTTTTACACTCTTTACACAATGTACAAATATACATCTATTTATTATATATTATATTATTTAATGGATGTTAAGCTACCTTAATGGTTACGCAAAGTTTTACTCAGCTAGTTATAGAATTACTCATACAGATATAAAACGTAGACACTTCCCAACCGCACTCTACAAAACCAGATCACATTAATTATGAATTGACAGAGACTAACGAACAATGGGGATTTTCTGCCAATATTTTCGTGTTTCATGTGAATGGTATGACTAATGTGAGTAAAGTCGTTTTATAACACCTTACACCTAATATAAAGTGCACTCTCACTTTAATATATTTAAGTAAGGGTTTCTTATCTTACTTTGCCAGTGTATTCCAAGCATCAGGTGGAACAAAAAGGTGTGATCATATAAGACATCACGAACCATAATCAAGAATGTTGTAATACCCCCACCGCAGCAAACCTGCAGAATAAGTGAATTCCCGTTTACCTGGCTGGAATTCTTCTAAAATACTCCCTTAAAGTTGTCAGATTAATTTCCTATTTAAATAAAATAAATTTTAATGCGACTTAGGTTTGCTGCTACAGGGAAGGTATTGAGGTATGTTTTTTTTATTGAAATGTTGATAGCTTAGTATAAAATTAACAAAATTACTAAATCTGATTAAATAATATATCCATAAACAAGCAAACTACATAAGAACAGTTTATTTATTATCCATAAGAATAACATGGGAATTTTAAATTTAATTTTTGTTAAATTATCTCTGTAATGGTTAGGCATACAACAATGCTTAGACATATAAAATTATTTATGTTTTAAGCTTTACAAAATGGTTTGGAAAAGATTGTGAAATTGTATGTTTTTAGAGTCAATAATGGGGAAACCCCATTTTTATCCCTTAAAACCCCCATAAACCCCCGTTCCCATAGTCCGATCATGCTGGTTCGCAAACTCGTTTGAATAAACGTAGCTATACAAGTTTATAAAAATTTCATCAAAATCGGAGATATTTTCGGATGATTTTCGCTTGAGTTATCGCGCTAACGGACACACACACATGTATACTGTATATGAATATGAACGGAGGGCGTTTTTGGCCTCTGGGGACCTCAAATAAAAAGGTAAATCAGTCCCGGGTCTAGGTCTTACCATGAGACCTATGGTAATAGGAGCTTATTACTTATATGGGAAATTCACTAATAAAAACATCATCTGACATAGTATTAGGGTTTTTAGGTTTTTTATTAGGGGTTTAGCTTACCTCTACAGGCAAGGTAAACTAAAAACAATAAACGAAGTTATTGCCTTCATGCAATCAATTTCGTGTGTTCTTGTACCCTAATTTTATATTCTAGGGAACACAAAGTAGCTAAAAAAATATACTGTAACTTATGAAATTTATCATTTTTGGCCATAAGTCTTATCAAAATATTCAATTGATGGAAAATTCAAATTACCTTTGAGCCTTTTTATTCAGGGTAAACTAAAGGGAGTTGGTACTTACTAAGAGGATTCTTCAATTATGATTAAAACTTTCCACTGTAAAGTCGATTACGTGTACCTTGTTTTTCCGAAAAAAGTTTACTTTTACAAACAAATGGGTGAGATTCGCACATAAATGATTCGGTAAATTTGGAAAGTTAACTCACACCGGCGACTTTACAGCGTGCCAGTACAAATTCACTCTCTGAGTACAAAAGGAAAGTACAAAGAGGAATAGACAGTTAAAGAGCAATCGTATATTTAAAAATCATCATAACACTGAATGTAAAATTTATAAATTCCAATAATCCACAAAATTTCGAGTCTTACTTAAAATTTAAAAACTAACACTCTTAAATAACACTTATAATTTAAACCACAGCACCAAACATAACAATTAATCTTTATACAAACCAGGTTTTAGAAATACCTAACTCCAATTGTTAATATTAACAGTAAACGGTGACAATTTAACGAATGTATAAATAGATGTATCACTTGGACGATAACAAATTGACCTGCTCGGTTGTTAGAGATGCTCAAAGCTCAGTTGAGCATGCAGGACTCGTAGGTGGGGATCATGTACTTGATGTTGATGAAGGCATCTTCACCTCCGTACCTCTCCAGGACCTCCAGCGTCTCCTGCACCATGTCTCCGATGTTCTCTCTCTTCTGCTGGCTGTAGTCGATGCCATCCCCACAGTTAACTGTCACACCAACAATACAGGAGTTACAACGGCGATGTAAGAATGGAGTCTAAAGTTATTGGCACCTTTGCCACATACGTTGAATGAACTTTGTGGGCTTTACTTAACTTTGTGTTCTGTGTATTCAGGTTTAAGGATTAATCAAATATGATAACACACGTTGCATCACATATACACATATTATGAGGACCTAACAAGGCCTAAATAAACTGTTTGAAAAGGAGCAATATAAATTTATCAATGGGCAAAATATCTTATCCGTCTTTCCCCTGCCGTAGTCCAGATTTTCTACCAAAATGCTGACTAGTTCTTCATATTATTCATTCTTACAGTAGTAGTACAACGCTAGGGTTAAGATAGTGTTATCGTTGTCCGTTTATTTTGACTAGTTCTTGACGAGTTTTGACATTAAGAAATCTTGAAAAACGTCAACTCATTAAAATAAATAACATTTAACACGGACGTAAAAATTAATAAACAACGATAACGCTATCTTATCTCGATCTTATCTAACAATCTCCACGATGTCAGTAGACCCGTCAGCAGTTTGAGTCTACTGCCTACGCTAGGGTTAAGATAGTGTTATCGTTGTCCATTTATTTTGTACGTCCGTGTTTTGTGTATATGTTTATTTATTTCGATACGTTGACTTGTTGCAAGTAAAGATTTAACTATGTTGTGCTTGCGACGAAACTAGTCAGCATTCTCTTGATGAAAAATTTGGACTACAGACGGAGGAAAGATAGCCTATTTTTTCATTAAAATAGTCCAAGGGGGGGGGTAGTAACTGTTCACCATCAACTTTACCTCACCAATAAATATGCCATTTGATGATTGTGTTTCATTATTTACTTTATATTTGTTTTGCATGTATAAATAATCGGTACATACAAAAAATTGATTAGCCTACACTATATTTGAGTACGTGCAAACACAACTAATAATACTTTAACAGTATCACTAAGCTGCAGGTATTTTTTAATTAAAAAAACAACGTAATCAAATTTGACCACTACTGATATCCTGGGCTGATCTTGAAATAAACTTTCTTAATTTAAAATTAGATATCTCGATAGTTTATGTTTAATTTGAGAGACTATCGTTTGAAATCTTCTTTCGTTTCGTTAAAACAGTTAGTTTACAAGATAGGAAACAATATGATATATATCAAAGAATTCAAGAAGAATGTTTAAATATTTGTAAAATGTACTCACCGTTCATATCCTTGTATACGTTAAGTGCAGGTAGTATCTGCCTGTAGTACGGCACCAGCGCCTCGCCCACCATGTCTGCAGACATTACTAGATGCTGCAGCACCTTCAGCGTGGTGCAGATCACCTCGGAGTTCTTGGTGTTAAGTGCGTCTGGAGCAACAGAATTGCATACAAGAACCTGTCTAAAATTTCTATCGATGTGTATGCTAAAAAACTACATTTATCTGAGTGAATAATACTAGTTTGGACCAGCACAAACTTTTCACAAAATCTAATATCTAAGAACACAATTATCATCACAAAAACATTGTGTAACTGTTACGAATATTTTTTTCGAAAGAGGTCAAGATAGACTCACACTCTGATTCGTATTATTTAAGTATTATTCGTATTATCTTTTACAAACAAATTTGTATCATTAAAATTAATTCAACCAACGATCTTCTAAATCAACATCTAATAAAATATATACTGATGTATTTTACGTTCTAAGGTTATAGAAGTAAAAGTTTTTATAACAGGTCTTATTAGAAAATGTAGCTGTGAACTAGCATCAGCTGACTAGTGTCCTTTATGTTTACGATTTTGGATATTTCGGTTGTCATGGTGACTAAGGGGTGTTGAGTTGAATTAATGTTTAGAGAAGGTTCGTTTTGTTGACCTGTTTTTTAAAGTGTAAAATATAACTAAGTTGTAGAAAGTTCTGAAGAGTTTTATTTTCCCACAAGCTATTTCGGCATGTCTGGAAACGGTACAAGATTTTCGGATTTGGTAAAGTTGTATGATGGCGAGAAGAGCAGGATGTAAGCTAATGTGGTACAGAGATAACAAATTAAAACCTTTGGACCAAGTTAAAACAAAGAAAGATGTTTTCTCGTTGTGTGGGCAATTGATTGGACACTATCCAGTAGCAAGTACATGCTTCGACCTGCATGTAGTTTCGTTAAGAGACATTTGTCGGATCTGAAGTGGGATGATTTGATCAGTGAACGTGCGCAAACTATGTTAACAAATATTATGGATCGAATCGATGAAAGAGACCCAGCCACTGGCAAATGGGCTGTGTCCCCTGGAGAAGAGGGAAAAGTGTGGTGTGACGCAAGCAGTCTAGCGATCGGAGTTTGTCTAGAAATTGAAGGTGAGATAGTCGAAGATGCTTCGTGGCTGAGGAAGCAGCATGATTCAGCACATATCAATTTAGCAGAATTGGTTAAATTGACACTAGCTATCCTAAAAGGAGTAAATTTGGCCCTGCGTTGGGGGTTAAAGAAGATCGTATTAATCACGGATTCAGCGACAGTTCATGCTTGGGTGTCATCTATACTGACGGGGGACCGTCCTATCAAAACACATGGGTTAAGTGAAGTTTTGGTTAGAAGACGATTAAGCCTATTTAAAGACATTATTTTGGAATGCGGTCTCAATGTACAAATAGAACTCATTAAGTCACAGTTCAACAAAGCAGATCTTCTTACAAGAGTGCCAAAAAAATGGTTAGCAAGAAACGAAGAGACTAGCATTGCACTTGTGTGTGAGAATGAGAGTGTGGACCAAAAGACATTGGTGAAACAGGTTCATGACTTGCATAATTTTGGTGTTAACCGTACTTTATTCACCGCCAGACCGTGTCACCCAGACATTAACTTTACCACAAAAGTTGTTGAAGAAGTTGTGAAAAGTTGTAAAGAGTGTCTGTCAATTGATCCATCCAGCATCAAATGGGATCCTGGGTATTTGGATTGCCAGAACAATTGGTATAGGCTTGCCATTGACGTAACACACTATGGTCAAAGCAAGTTCATGACCATTGTGGACTGTGGTCCAAGTAGGTTCTGCATTTGGCGCCGGATCCCAAAAGAGACGAAAGATCAGATTTCTAAAGTGTTGTTGGAATTGTTTACTGATCGAGGGCCACCACATGAGATTTTGATGGACAATAGTGCAACATTTCGATGCGAAGAGATTACTCAGCTCTGTGATAAATGGGGTATTAAAGTTGTGTTTAGGTGTGTCAACCGGCCAAGTGGAAACGGGATAGTTGAGCGAAACCACAGAACAATCAAGCGTATGGCCGCAAGAACTAAAGGGAGTATCCAAGAAATTGTCTATTGGTACAATTTGACACCTAAAGAAGGATTAGGTGGCGATTCATCGCCGAGTTCCCAGATTTTTTCGTACCAATGGCGATGTAAAGGTGAACCTGTAAAAGGTGAAGTGTATGAAGGGTCACATTTTACAGTAGGTGAACGTGGGTATGTCAAGCCACCAAACCCATCCTGTACTTCGAGATGGAAGGAAGGAGTGGTTACTGGACAGTTTTCACCCAGAAGTGTTGAAGTAAATGGCAGGCCTCATCACATAGCAGATGTGCGAAAAGTAGTTGAAAGTAAAAATGAAAGTGTAAGTTGTGTCGGCACCTCGAGGGCGTGTGGTGGTGTTGACACCACGGGGGCGTGTAGCTGTGAACTAGCATCAGCTGACTAGTGTCCTTTATGTTTACGATTTTGGATATTTCGGTTGTCATGGTGACTAAGGGGTGTTGAGTTGAATTAATGTTTAGAGAAGGTTCGTTTTGTTGTCCTGTTTTTTAAAGTGTAAAATATAACTAAGTTGTAGAAAGTTCTGAAGAGTTTTATTTTCCCACAGAAAACACATTGATAATACACACAAGACTAAGAACACAATGTATAGTACAGTGGCTTACAGCCACAGCTACACCGGTCAGGGCGGCAAACGAGAGTCCCATGAGGTGATGACTAAACAAAAATATTTATACTATAGGGCCTAACCCTTGGTAATTCGGTCAAGAAATAAATAGGTACGTATTTTGTTTTACAAATACCCATTTAACATTATGTGTAAATTGATTGCAAACTCACTCTTGATGGGTATGATGAGCTGCGGTATGACGGGTAGGATCTTGTTGCGTCCATGGACCAGCATGTCGTGGATGCCTTGTCTGGCGAAGAACTTGTAGGGATGTTCTGTCTCACACAAGCCATCGAAGAACACGGGCAGGTAATGGTGGAAGTTGAGGCTCTCTATGGGTTGCTGCAAATAAAAAGGAATAGTTTTTTGAAGAAAAAAAATAGTGATTTCATTTGTGCAGTTCTCATCACATTTATTCAACCATTTTAAAACATATTCTTGAGTGTGGCAGATTGCGTGAAAATATAATAATAATATCTATGGTTCTTGCCGTCAACGCAATCAGGAGTAATATTCCACTACGGCCGTTTCGGAGATGACTCCATCGTCCGGTGCGTAGTGGTACACTAAACTATAGTCTTGTCACATTTAACACGAGTTTTCTTCATTTGCATTGCGTCAGGGGTTGAATAAATAATACTACGCACCTGACGATGGAGTCATCTCCGAAACGGCCGTAGTGGAATATTACTCCTGATTGCGTTGACGGTAAGAACCATAGATATTATTATTACATTTTAAAACACCTAGCTTTAAATACTGAACCAGCCCCACGACAAACAAAGCCAATACAGCAACACATTTCACAAAGGAATGCCAACATGAGGAAGATTGTATCAAAGGAGAAGCCATACAATGGAAATTAGCCTATAATTAAAGTAAGTAAACAAAAGATGTGTATCCTTACGGGCAGAAGCGATCTTTTAAATTTGAGATGTAAGGGAAACAGTTTAAATTTATCGCTTAAAATTTACAAATGATGTATATATTGAAGAATCAAATTGTATTACAATCTGAATCACGAGTAGACATGTGGCACGTTAACTGTTAATGTACGGTATCCAACGGTTCTATTTAGGATTCGGTTCTTTATTTTTGTAGCCCAAGGGAACTTGCTCCATGTTTTACTGTATTTGGTATCAAATGTGTTAGGGCTTAATCGTATAGGGTCAGAATAATAATTTCTTATGATACTAACCATGATATATTATCTAGACTATTGTTCTAATTCACCATCGTTTTGGGAAGTCCAGTACACGTTACAACATGGACAAATATAGAGGAATATTATTTTCCAGTAAGGTAACAGTTGCTTACCCTCCAAGCGATCTTGTGTCCGGAGCTGGAGGACTCCATGGAGATGGGGAAGTCTCCGCGGATGTAGAACCTCTTGAAGGCAGTGTTGCCAGCTGTGTGCCTCACCCTGTCTTCTGGCTTGGGAGGCTTCTCCACCACCACGCCCCTCTGGTACGACTGTATAGAAAAGGCGGGAACAACCCTCAGCTTCGGAGCTGGCTTCCTCAGGCTCTCTCTTTCAATAAGTAAGAAGAAATTGACCATTATTTGACATTAGACTATTAAAGGAATTCTAAATACCATGATTGGACATGCTACGTTAGAAGTAGGCCTATTTAAAATTAAATTGGTCAGTAGTTTTATTTTACGAATCCATTTCATGCAGTCGTGCAAATTTTTGTGTGTAAATTATGCCATCCTATTTCGTGTAATTTATAGTAACTGACAAACAACTACTTAAAAGAATTCTAAACTATACAGTCATCATTTTGTATGACATTATCTAATTTGAGTTAATACTCTGCGGTTCTGACCATAATAAATACATTATACAAATGGTTGTCCTACACGTTAAGTTGTAAACTTAAGGCTCATCATGTCGTAAGTTTTAGTTGAATACATAAATACTGTTATGTTAATTAATTGACAAACAATTATTGAAGATGAACTATATACAAGCATTGTCCTAATAGTATATATTTACAATGTTATAGCCTAACGTTGCGTAGTTTTAATAGTCCACTTTTCTAATCTTAACTTAAACAGTGTAGGTAATATATTGGCATTGACATCTTACATTGATAATGTAAACCTAAACACTTTAACCTACTTAAACAAAGAAGAATGTAAACAGAAGACAAGACGTCAACAATATTAGCTTACCTGAAAGCTCTTCCTGAAACGTACTCTCCTTCAACACCCATAATTTATGAGACAAACGCGACACAAATAGCGGAATATTACTTAAAATAAAGTCATTGAAAGTTTGTGGATTCCTGAGAGCGTGGCTTGAATGTCTCGCGGTTCGTGACTGAACACTGGGATGTCATGAAACTATCTGGAGTCTCTAGGCAACAAGTAAACAGAGTTGAATCGATGCAAACTGCACAGCTGACTTGAGGTTTACATGTGGCATAGGAATGTTCACTTACTACGGCGAGACAGTGGCGATTTGTGTCAACACAAAATCTAAATAAAACACAGATAGGTCACAGTTTCAAAGTGATGACGTCAACGGCTGTAAACCAAATTCATTTTCTCGATTCATGAGATAATTCTGTTTACAAACAAACAATATATAATGATAATTGACGAAATTTACTGTTAAATGAATATTTGTATATTTTGTCTGCATTTCATCACACACGGTTTGAACTATTGATTAGTTTGTAAACTACGGCACCTGTATCTATTAAATATAAGGCAAAGCCCTCACTGACTCACTGACTGACTCACTCACTCATCACTAATTCTCTTACTTCCCATTTACCTAGGAGGCTGAAATTTGGTACACTGATTCTTTAGACATTAAATAGGAAAACTAAGCTGTTTTTATTCTGATCGGACTCTCGGGCTCCACCCCAGTTTCTCTGGAGTTTCCCATGTTAACCTTATGAGTACTCATATTGAAATGGAATTAATGAATCTTAACAGCGGTTTCAGTTAAACAAGTTGGTTCTGTTCTATGATGTTCAATAGCATTACAGTTACGAGGATTACCAACAGGGTGCATCACTATTATTTCTTTTACATTTATGACAACAGCTAATTTGCAACCAAAAGGTGAGTGAGCGTAGCGAACGAACTTCAACCTGGATGCGAGTTAGCGTAGCGAACGAGCTCCAACCTAAAAGTGAGTGAGCGTAGCGAACCAACTTCAACTAGGGCGTGATTGAGCCATGCGAACGAGCTCACTTATAAAGTTAAACGGGGCAAAGCCCGCGGGTACAGCTACTTATATTATATCTTACTAATATTATAAATGTGAAAGTTTGTGTGTTTGTTTGTTTGAAGTTCAATCACGCATAAACCACTGGACGGATTGGGCTGAAATTTGGCATGATGATAGCTTACATTCCCGATTAACATATAGGCATATTCTTATCTCAAAAATCATTTCGGGCTCCGCCCCAGTCGCTCTGTAATTCCCATAGCATTTATAAAAACAGCTAATTTGAACTAAGCAGCAACAAAAAACTGTGATTCGCAATGAGAACTGTCAAAGTAGGATTGTTTACAGTTATGTTTATGTTTTTCATTTCATAATTATTTTTTGATATTTTGGGAATTGTTGATAATTTATTTTTCTCTATTGTTTAGGTGAAGTGGTAGAACATCAAGATGTATGGAGTAAAGGAAGTAAAGAACATTATGGCTATGGTAGATGTGTAATACTATAGAATACTGTAAATTAAAAAAAACAAATATTATCAAACTGTGTCCTCCCTTATTGCAAACGCAAAGCTTGAGTATAACTGCAATAAGCATTTTATACTTATATTCCAACCCCGTACGAAGGACGGGTACTTTGCTAGTACCTGTATATAGGGTGATTGTGGAAATGTCCGTGTTATAATTAATGAAGTACGGTACGGTAACGTTAATTCAAATAGTTAGGTAAAAGCGAGGGTATGATTCTGAATTGCAGTGGTTACGTTGATTTACAATGAATGTTATACAACGCTGAACGTTATTATAAAAGGGAAGAGGTTACATCCCGCCTAAGACCTATTTTACGTGACAGATAACTTCACCCAAAACTTTTTGTTGCAATATAAAAATGATAAATCTCGGTAAGTTAATCTGTAAAAGATAGATCAATTAAAATCTGTATATAATACTGCACGTTGAATGAAAAAAAAAACTCATAGACTGGTCCACCGGTCCCCGGTAGTTGATGTTATGTTGCAAGAATTAGAACAAATCAATAGTTTGCACAATTCCTCACGGATCCTTTCGTGTGGTCTTCAATATTTGGGTCTGCTCAATACATATTACCAGTAAAGCGCTTCACTATAATGACCAAGCTAAACCATGCATTTAACATACTTCCTGCATGAAGGAAGTATGTTAAATCTATGGTTTAGCTTGGCTTGGTCAATCCCTTGCCTTCTAGATCTGTTAGCCTCATGGGAGAAATCGCATTACATATTTTGTCTGGAGAATGTGTATAATGTGTTGTTATCCACATTTTTATTCTTTGTTATTTCACTGCTTTATGGACTACGTATGTGGACAACTTAATCGTCAACACTAGTGAGTACTACGACTATCCACAGTACTATCCTGATAATTAGACCAATTAGTTAATACCAAGGCATACATGTGGATCGGATTCCACTAAAAATGTAGGTCCCTTAGTTGCCATTAGCTGTGTGGGCTATTAATTAACAGCTGTGTCAAAGGAATATGTCGGCCTCATTAACTAACAAGACTACAAGATCGCGCCACTCATCTCCTTTCATACTTGGCTTAAAATACCTACTTTGTATGGTCGCCATTTCATTGAAAAGTACAAAGTAAAGTAAAGTATTATCCTATACAGTCAACATGAACCACATTTGTCCGATGATCCTTGAGGTACCAGAGAGGGACTGTTGCATGTCTCGTGCCCACATGCAACCCAAAATGCACTAGTACAACTTACATGCCGCATTTAGAGTAGACATTGCACGAACCTAAATAACCTATAAACTTTATATTATTTTTGTTCCACTGCAAAATCAATGAAAACTATTCTTCTATTCTAGACGTTCCATTTGTGAGACCACATAATTTATACCCACTTGTTATACTACCCTACGTTTCAAAGTTTCCAAAATATTATAATTGAGTTATATTTGTACTCCAAATCAGTTCATTTGATAAAAATTCAATGCTAAAATATTTAAAAATATCCAACAAGAAAACAAAGAAAATTATAGTTTAGAATCACATCACATTACACGTTATTTGATGTAAAAACCTAAAACCTTAAAATATTATTCAATGTGGCTAATACAACTGTTCATTTTGCACAGTACTTATTTATTTCTCTAAAGTTTAATTGTATTTAATATATAGATAACAACAACCAAAGCAAACAGAGAGCCTTTTTTTAGACAAATATAATGGTGTACAGGCATATCCATCTTGACAAATAAATAATTTGATTCTTAGTTTGTTAACATTTTTAAATAATTTGTTTTACATTTAGAACTTTTTAGAGACTTATGCCTCTACATGCTCTTATACTTATACTTATACTTTTATGCCTTATACTTATGCTACATGATTAGGAGTGTACCATTAATCATGATTAAAATATAAAATCTAAAAAAAGAAAAAAATAGGAGCAACAACAAATGATTAAACTTAGCTTATATTATAATTTTTCTGTTTTCCTAAATTAGGGCTTGGTAAACAACAATTTTCTGACAGCTGTCATCAATGCTTTTTGGTGGTTCGAAACTAGACCAAGCTGTCTTTGATAATTGGACTTTAAAGAGAAAATCACGTATAACATTTTTCCCAAAATCGCTTCGTTAACCAGATATCCACCGTTTTGTATTTTTTACATAAACATTTTTATCCTTGATATTTTTTTAACCGATCTTTATACAACTTGGTATGTATGGTAGAAGAGACCCATGTTAGAAAAAAAATCATCTTGATTCAACTTAAAATTTCAAATTTGCGGCCATTTTTAGTTGTAAAAATGGGGTAGAATAAGGCTAAAAATCTAAAAACCGTAACTAAAATCGTAATATTTCAGCTATTTCTTATTTGATCTTTTTGAATTTGGTATCGTTTGATTTAGAATAAAACATTCTAAATGAAAGTGTAGCAGATGTTGGTTCATAAAATCAGCCGTTTTTAAGTCATTTAAGTTTAAAAAATTAAAAGCCACTTTAAAAAATTTTTTTTGTTGAATCAAGATATTTTTTTTTCTAAAATGGTTCTTTTTTATCTTAACATACATACCGAGTCTTATAAAGATCAGTTGAAAAAGTCCGAAGATAAAAATGTTTATGTAAAAAATAAGCGATTTTAGAAAAATTTTTATACTAGATTTTCTCTTGATTTTTTTGACCCAAGGAATCACTGGTAAAATATGTCCCCACCTTTTTTGAAGATCCTGTATAAATGCAAAGAGAAAAATATTTTTGAAATGTTATACTGTATTGTATTTTCCAACTTGCACAGATTTGTGTCAGTAGTGGTTTATACAACGCCTTCAGTTTTCAAACCTTTTCTGAACACTTGCCTGTATTGCATGTGATTGCCAAAGTTTGAAGGCAGCACGGACGTTACGGATTGACCCTACAGTCGCTTTTACATCGTTTGGATGCACAATTATAAAAAATGTACATGATAAAATGTATAAACATTAGGAGTTAACTGTGTAGGTTTCCAAAGTAAACTATATTTAATTTTCAATTATCAAATAGTCTACTTTACAGAATAAGCCTTCAATACAGCATCGAGGATTCTAACACATAGATGTACGAGTTTGTGTTATGTTGAATCAGATTCTGAAGGCTCAAAATATTGTAGCATGTCTTTCTGTTTATAAGGAAGTGTCCAAAATTACGGTGTTTTATGTCTATCTGCATGTTGATCATTGATTTAAAATAGAGACAATAAAAGATCTTCTATCTTAAACAAGTTGCATTTCCATAAAAAAAATCTATGGCTAATCAAAAAAGTGGTGTCAGAAATCTGATACAACATACTCTACGTACTATACGTAAAAACCTTTTTATGAATAAACGGTGGGAGTACCTACAGTATGATATTTTATTTAGAAAAGCACAAACGTTGCTATAGCTTTAAGGCCGTAATTTTTTATCAATAATGGGTTTACTATATTTTTAGTATTTAAAGTACCATTGCATACCGGTACTAAATTTGAATTAAAATCCGTTAAATACATTTTTAGCGAATTTCCCTATAGGGAAGTAGCTATTACCGTAGGTGGCACGGTAAGACCTAGACCCGAGATCGATTTACTTTTTCATTTTGATGTCCCCAGAGGCCAAAAACACCATTCGTTCAAATTTTTATATATGTATATATATATATATAGACATATATATATA